AAATTGAAAAACGTGGACAGAGACCACAATTTACCTGAAATCTACCCCTCCCCCGTAAATTCCCAAAAAGTTGCCCCATTACGGTAATAAAAAAGTCAATCAACCCCATTTATGTAAATTTTCCGATCTACATATCCACAACACATGAAGCTGAAGTATTGTATTTAAATTTACAAATAAAAACTATTCTACTATTTAACTTGACATTTCCTAAACTAGTTTGAGGAGAAATCTATTGACTCTTTTAAACTTATTCTTCATCTTAGCCATCAATTCTTGGGAAATGCAATGATTTGAATTAGTGATAGATCTAAACCTTTGGATTTCCCTAGAATTGATGGTTAGGATGTTGAGTAAATTTAAAAAACTAACTCTTGGAGTAAGTGGATCCTCACCCAACTATATTTTATATGTGAACATCTCTACTCTGGATAAGATCTGAACTCTTCTTATTCTCTCATTTCACCATCAAGTCATCAACCACTGGCTAGTACCCAAACAAGGATCTCCGTCCCAAGAAATTGGTGTTTGCATGTCCCAAGCCAATCATACTGCACTAAGTAATATAAAAAAAGTTATTTTCTGTTTTTTTAATTTCCTTTTTAATTTGGTGGCAATTTCTAATTGGGTTGAGACACATTTGGGATATCAAAGAAGATGAGGCATGTGATCTTCATTCTAGTACCCACCATGCAAAAGTGGAGCAGAGTTTTGTTTAGTAATTTTGTACACTAGTGATATGCTGAGGCTGTCAATAAAGTGAAGTTGGAATCTGAATCTTGTGCTTTCCTCAACTTTTGTTGCATTATTTATTGGTGTCTCCCATATTGATGCTAATTTTTTAATAACAAAGTTGCTTTATAATGGATTTTTGAATGCTAACGAAAGTCATAAAATCATGATGTATCTACTTTGCATTTTAAGCTCTATCCCTGTCTAATGGAGTTAACAACACTCAAAATTAGAGTATCTTTATATGTGAAGACGTTAAAGTAGGGTAACTTGCTAAGCACCTCGAGCTTACCATTCTTTAATATTTGATGTTGATATAAATTTTATAACATCTAATGGTTATTTGTTAGACTCAAGTATGATTAGGTGAAGTTTCCCATTAATGAATTTAGGGAAATTTTAGTGTTGAGGTTTTGGGTTATTAGGTCCACTGAATGCACATTCTTAGCCCAACAACAACCTTAACAATATTTTGCCAGGCCATCGCATGTTCACTTCGAAATTTGGCTCCTTATTTAGTTCGATAAACTTGATTCGTAAACAAAGATAGTCAAAATTGAGTTAAAAATTAAATTCGTTAGATAAACGAGCTCAACTTAAGCAAAAATACAGTTTAACTCGTTAGGTTCATGAACTAGTTCAATTGATGATATATATATATATATATATATATATATATATGTATACATGAACTCTTAACGAACAAAAATAATTTGAGGTGATAAGTTGAACCGAATAGTTTGTAAACTTTAATGAAGCCGAATTCAAGTTGGATATATCTTGTTTTAAACTGTGAAAATCCTTATCAAGCTAAATCAACCCAAACCTTAGTTCTACTTGGTTCAAGTCTTTCCAACCCTATTCACAACCATATTATTCATGTAAACTTCAGAAAAGGAATATAAGTATACATAAAATATATGTGACCCTTTCATTTTAACAAAGTAATCACGCGACTGCTTTGGAAATAAAATACTATAACTACAGAAATAATTGCATCATTATCTTTTTTGGGCATTGTCCTTGTCACGCCCCCTATTATCTTATCAAAACTGTGGGGTCCTCAATTTGTTGGGTCACCCGTCACCCTCTAATTGTATCATTGGAAAGTACTGTATAATAATGTGTGGCTGCATGTAAACTGAATATAACTGTAATCTGGTCACTATGCACAGCTATTTCTATAATTCTATGCATGTGCAAATGCTTCTCTAATTATGTGTAGTTGATATATTATAATCCATGCAGTTAAGCTTTTTGGGATGTCAATTCTAATAAGAAAGAGGTCATTTCACTAGGAGCCTAATTATTCAACACGAAACGACTTCTATGACTTGTTCCAAATGATTTAATTTTCTTCTTCTGGTGTGAGAGTGTGACTTATTAGCTACTATATCATAAAAAGTTATCGTTTAGGTACATAATCATATGTTGAATTAGTCTTTCACCTGCTAGATATTTTCAGAAACTATATATATATTACGTGGATTGTAATTTGTTATAGATTCTTATATCTTCATAGGTATGTATACTATAGTTTGTTAACTTTGCAAAATGCATTAATCAGTGATTTTATATTTATGACCTCTTCTGCCAAAGGCTGATCCATAAAGTGATATGTTTGTTGTTTGAAGTTAAAATAAACATATAATATTTTGGCTGGGACACCAAAGTCATTTTCATGATGTTTGTGTGTCTTAGCTTAAAGACCACAAAGCAAAAATTAGATTCCATAAGCCAAAAGTTATATGGACTCTTTAATACAAAAAGCGATTAGCTTTTTTTGAAATTTCTTTCCTTGTTTGCTTTTCCATTCATTTTCTCTGGCAATTCAACTGGTTATGATTGAAAATGATCCAATAACCCATTGGCAATTGTAGTGAAGAACTATCAGAGTTGAGAAATCATGAGGAAAGGTTGAAGAGTTCACATTATTCTCATTCATTACTGATTGTTCTCAAAATGATGCTGACCTCCAACAAATCCAGCATGGTCAGAATTGATTGAATGTCTTGTTTGGAAAATTTATTGTTTACCCACTTTACTAAGTTTCTTGGTGTAATTTGGGACCCAGTGGCTTCTTTAATATCTTAAATTGAATATTGAAGGTCACAAATAATTAAAATAGACTTGTTACTTACTATTGAGTGTATCTGGTCTCCTGTATTAGAGAAATGTAATCGAATACTTAAATATGAAGGAGAAATGAAACTTTCTAAATTATAATTTTTATTAAAATGTAATTAAAATTATGTATATTAAAGATTTATTTGTATCATGTATCATAATTTTTTATCTAGTATTGGACTCTCTACATATCTGAATTCCTTAAAGTTGGTAAGGTTTTTATCACAAACTCAACAATGTTCAATTGTTTCAATTTGATTGCAAGCAAAAGTCTATGTTTTTAAATCCCTTTTGATAACTACAACTCCGATGGTAATACCAAAGTTTTGATGATCTCCACAATCATCATATGGCAACCATGATTATAATTGCATTGTCCATAACTATTTTAAATACAATTAGTTGCAATTACAATTTAAAACCGTGACAGAACATTTAAAAGCATGTTGCTTAACGTATGTGGTTAGAAACTTAATTAGCATTAAAGAGGGGTCGGTCCATTCCAGCTAATAGCAAGAGTAAAGCAGAACAATCTCAATAACCAAAAATAGGAGAACAAACTTGTTTACGGGATGGAGAAGCTGCCACACAGAAAAAAGTAGAACAATCTCAATACCCATGAAGATGTGTATAGTTGATGCTTCCATTATAAATCTCCAGAAAAAATATATATACATATAAATTGATAGTGTAAAAGTTTTATACACAGTCAATGTATTATCCACAATTCATTTCTAATCATTATTAACTCTTCAAAAAAAGTAACACAAATTAATTGTGGATGATTTATTGACTATGTATAAATCTTCGTAGATTTCTTTGGATAATCAATAATTTGGATTCAAACCTTATGTTTTTTACTTTGTAAATATGACAATGAATAACAAATCATTTTTCAAATATGTTCAGAGAAGAGTTTTAACTCGAGAAAGCTTCTTATTAGAAAAAGTAGTGGATTGTTGGTAGACAATTACCCTTGTCTTAAGTTATCTTTGTTATTTCTCTTTTATTCTTTAATAAGCTAAATAAGGAGAAATTCTACTACTATATGATAGTTCACTAAAGAAGAAAACATACTATCAATCAAAGAATAATTATAAGTAATTACTTTAATTAATCTACTATATACTTAACTCAGAACCTCTATTATACCCTTGGTGGATGAGTGGAGAGAATCTTTAACTCAGTCCCTAATTCAACCAGGACTCTCACTAGTAATGAAGAAATAAGTGTTTGTTTATGTTCATGTTTTTAAGGACAAAAATATAAATTTATAATAAATAAAAAGATAAAAATATCATTATATCTAATCTTTTGTTTGTTATTGTACAGCACTTGACTCTCCAATAAGAGATAGAATTGATACCCTCCCTAATTGTCAAACAAAACAATCATGTACTATTTCTCTATGATTGGGCATAACATATGGATAGGATTTTCGTGATGTATCACCGAATACTTATACAAAACACAAGTGTAGTCACTGGCTGAAAAAAATAAGAAGACAAATTTCATTTAATGTAAGATGTGCATGAGTTTTGTCTATATGTCTTGCGTAGTCCTGTCATTTTTTATACAATCAAGCAAACTTCAAATGAATTCATTTTCATTGGCTTATTTATGAAAAATGTATAAGTAACTCAGATATACTTACCCAATGGATACGGAGAATAAAAATGTTTTTTAACAATCAATGCATGACAATTTTAAAATGTCGTTTGATTTTTGAATTAATTTATTTGAGACGAATAAAAGGATAAAAAATAAATAAGAAACAAATATAATTTAATTTGGTGTGAGACAAGTTGTTTGAAGTTTGAACATGAAACTACATATAACAATACTTGAAAGGAAATATGCCATTCAACGTATAGTGCTGCTTTAACTCAATGGCTTGAGTACATAAAGTGTCTAGAAGATATGATTATGTTGAAATTATCTATATAAATATAATAGAGCACATATAACATTCTTAACGAGATTAGAATTCTTTCGATTAACGGAGAGACAAATACCTAGAAAACAACATAAAAACTAAAATAATAGGACACTTATATCCATTAATATGATAGCTCCTCATGTGTGTCCAAATGTTTTCAGTTGCACCACCAATAAACACATCAATAAAGAAAAATAGAGTGGCCTCAAGAAAGAACAAGGTAGTACCACAAAGAAATAAACTAGACTTAACTAGTTCTTTTTTAAAGGGGGTCTAAAAAGTTCCTATTTGTTGATGATGCTCTAAGCACTCATAAAAGATTATTACTCCACTTTAGTAAAACTTTTCTTAATTACTTTTTATATGGAATACATTTATTTGTTGTTTAGAGGACAACGCTATTATATGTCCCATTCCCATTACTATCATAGCAGTAAAAGAATATTTGCACATACATCTATATAGATTCAACAGTTTCAACTTCCATATCAACTATATAATACCTTATATCCCTGCATTTCTTGAAGCACAAACAAATTTGGGAAAGTATTCACAATAAAAAGGATGAAAATGCTGATTTTCAAGTTTCTTCAAATTGTTTTGCTGTTGGTTTTCTGTGCCAGATACACCATAGCAGAAAAGAAAACACAGCAGGCCAAAAAAACATACATAATTCACATGGACAAGTCCACTATGCCATCAACTTTCAATGATCACCTCAATTGGTATGATTCATCACTAAAATCAGTATCTGCTTCTGCTGAGATGCTCTACACTTACAAGAATGTAGCACACGGCTTTTCGACACGGCTAACTCTCCAAGAAGCAGATACACTTGAAAAACAACCAGGAATTCTTTCAGTTATTCCTGAAGTTAGATACAATCTTCATACAACTAGAACACCACAATTCCTTGGAATTGATAAAGCAACTACTCTTTTACCTGCTTCTGATCAACTAAGCCAGGTAATAATTGGAATACTTGACACTGGTATATGGCCTGAGCTGAAAAGCTTGGATGACACAGGACTTGGACCAGTACCAAGTAGTTGGAAAGGTGTGTGTGAAACTGGCAACAACTTTAACTCATCAAACTGTAACAGAAAACTTGTTGGTGCAAGGTTTTTCTCCAAAGGGTATGAAGCAGCCCTTGGACCTATTGATGAGAAAATAGAATCTAGGTCGCCAAGGGACGATGATGGACATGGTAGTCATACATTAACAACAGCAGGAGGTTCTGCAGTTGCAGGAGCTAGCCTCTTTGGTTTAGCTTCTGGAACAGCAAGAGGGATGGCCACACAAGCGCGTGTCGCGGCTTACAAAGTGTGTTGGCTTGTTGGTTGCTTCAGTTCTGATATAGCTGCTGGAATTGACAAGGCCATAGAGGATGGTGTCAACATTCTTTCAATGTCTATTGGGGGAAGCTTATTGGACTATTATAGAGATATCATTGCAATTGGTGCTTTCACTGCCACAGCCCATGGAATTCTTGTGTCCACTTCTGCAGGAAATGCTGGGCCTAGTCAAGGAAGCTTGGCTAATGTTGCACCATGGTTAACCACCGTGGGAGCCGGAACCATAGACCGTGATTTCCCCGCCTATATCAGTCTTGGAAATGGAAAAACATACACTGGAGCATCACTTTATAATGGTAAATCTTTATCTGATTCTCCACTGCCAGTTGTTTATTCTGGTAATGTAAGCAATTCATCCGTGGGGTATCTTTGTATCTCGGATAGCTTGATTCCTTCGAAAGTTTCTGGCAAAATAGTAATATGTGAAAGAGGAGGGAATTCTAGAGTGGAAAAGGGTCTTGTGGTGAAAAGTGCTGGAGGGATTGGGATGATTTTAGTAAACACTGAAGAGTATGGAGAACAATTAATTTCTGATGCACATCTCCTCCCTGCAGCATCATTAGGCCAAAAATCTGGTGATGCCTTAAAGAACTATGTTTTCTCTGATCCAAATCCAACAGCTAAACTTGCTTTTGGAGGCACAAAATTACAGGTTCAACCCTCACCAGTGGTGGCTGCTTTTAGCTCAAGAGGACCAAATGCTCTCACTCCAAAGATACTCAAACCAGACCTAATAGCTCCCGGTGTTAACATCCTAGCCGGTTGGACCGGAGAAGTTGGACCAAGTGGTTTGTCAATTGATCAAAGACATGTGAGCTTCAACATCATTTCTGGCACTTCTATGTCATGCCCTCATGTAAGTGGTTTAGCTGCTATACTTAAGGGTGCATACCCTGAATGGAGCCCTGCAGCTATAAGGTCTGCCCTTATGACAACATCCTACACAACCTACAAAAGTGGAGAAACATTTCAAGATGGTGCCACTGACAAACCAGCTACACCATTTGATTATGGTGCTGGACATGTGGATCCTGTGGCTGCTCTTGATCCTGGTCTTGTGTACGATGCGAACGTGGATGACTACCTCGGATTCTTATGCGCATCAAACTACACTTCACTTGAAATCAAGATTGCTACAAAAAGAGATTTTACTTGTGACTCAAGGAAGAAGTACAGAGTGGAAGATTTCAACTATCCATCTTTTGCTGTTCCTTTGGAAACAGCTTCTGGTATAGGAGGTGGTTCTAATGCACCAAGCACTGTCCAGTATAGTAGGACTCTAACTAATGTGGGCACTCCAGGAACATATAAAGCTTCAGTTTCATCACAGTTTACCTCAGTGAAGATTGTTGTTGAACCACAAGTACTTAGTTTTACAGAACTTTATGAGAAGAAAAGCTACAGTGTGACATTTACCTATACTTCATTGCCTTCTGGCACAACCAGCTTTGCTCATTTGGAATGGTCAGATGGAAAACACAGAGTTATTAGTCCAATTGCATTCAGCTGGACATGACTGATATTTAAAGATTTGAACTTTGAACAAGTGGACACTGAAATACCATAAAAATTGGCCTAGTAGAAGGGCTCACACATCACTATTATTCTTGTAATGCTTAATAGTTGGTGAGGCCTAACCAGCCTTGTTATTATGTATAGCGGTTCCTTTTGGTTTGGTGAAAATTTGGGGGAACTCGTAATAAGGAATAACTGTACATAAAAAAATTGTTATTGTACATCTTCTGTGTATTAATTGGCTTTGAATATTATATCTTCCCAGATTTGTGCTTTAGTCTTGCTTGTTCTTCGTAACTCACGTGACAGTACAAATTATTGGATGGTTACATACATCTAAATCACATTTTACCAACACAACAAATCTGTTTTTTCGTCTTAGCTATGCTTAGTACAGGTTGTAGTGGTCTAGAAACAGAAAGAAAAAAAACGAAAATGAAAGATTGTGAAAACGGGAGTACATTAATTATATATCATGCGGACGAAGACCGGTCGATTTTCAATTGAACCATATTGGTTATAGTGACCGATTTTAATTTAAAATTAATTTTATAATAAAAATGACTTAATTTTTACTAAAATATTAATATGAAGGGTCAAACACATACATATTATTTTTTGTTTATGCTTCTAAATATTCTACCATGACACATATAGTCATTTTTATTGATTTTTTATCATTAAATTAATATAATATATATATATATATATATATATATCTTTCTTTTCCCCTAAAAAAGATTATTCAGATAAAATTATCTTATTCACAATATAGACGTTGTACCATTTGTTATGGAGTTATTATATAAGATGAAAGAATAAGGATGTACTCACTATTAAATCAATAATTTCAACAAAACTTATTCTAGTAAGTAGATGCACGCGTTTTCAAAATTTAAATACATGACCATTAACCATAAAATAATTTATTTATCATTTCAAAATCAATATTTTTCACGGTTAAAAACTTAAATTGAGTAGTAGTATATTAATTATTGTTTTGGGTCAAAGGGTAATCAGTAACCCAAAAATGATGAACTTATAATGGCCTTATCATAAAGCCTGCTTTGATTGCTTTCTCTAAATTTATTGGATCTTAAAGAAACTCATGGCCCCCTTTTCTTAGGCCCTGAACAATAAGTCCTTAAATAAATTTCATTTTGATGGGCAAGAGACGGATAGAGTTCACAATATGTCATTAGTTTGGGACAGTGAATGAGACACCGTTCGAGACATGTGATTCTCATCCAAATTTTGCTTTAGAGATTTAGGCTGCTATTCATTCACTCACTCCAAACCAAATTTCTATAACGGTATTTTTTTTCTAGGTACATTTATATATGTGATGATAAAATTATTATCTTTTCAACCTAATCAGTTTAATTTGACTCTAAATATTGATCAGGTAAATTTTTAAACTCGAATATAAATTGGTTAAATATAATGTACTCCTCGTTAATAAAAAGAATTGTTAATATGTTTATTATCATTAATATATGTAACTTGACATATTAAATGATATATTTGCACATATTTTGTTAATCATTTAAATATGTATATATAATTAAAATATTAAAAAAATAATGAGATATGAAATGGTATGCTCATTGTCAAATAATTAAAATGTGAAATTGCTTCATAGGTTGCTCCAACAAAATGTATTATATACTTTGAGTGAGAGATTTGTCATTCTTCTTTACACAATTGAACGTGCACATATAAATAGAAGTCATCGGTGATTATGGGTGAGTTAAGTTGGTCATGTTTATCTCTTATTTCTACAGAATATTAATTAAGTCTAATTTTTGAATTCAACCATAATTCTAAATCGATGAGACCAACTATAAGCGTTAAATTATGATTGGATTAAATTGTGTGAACATATAAGTTAATTTGTCATGCTCATGTAAGACCGATGTTGCAACTAAGAGGAGGAGTGAATTAGTTGACTAAGAATTAAGACCACTTTTTCTACAAAATCAAAGTTAATGTGCAGCGGAAAAAATATATGCAGAAAAGAAACAAGATAAAATAGCAAAGATAAGGGAGAAGAGAATACATAGGAGTTTTATACTGGTTCACCTTTTGTCCACCAAAGACTACGTCCAGTACTCTTGTAGCACAAGAGATTCCTTTACTAAGAATATTTGAGTTGTAATTACAATATCTCTCCCCGAGATCTCTATGTACCTTACACACTCCCTAATTCTTATTCACCCTTGGAAAACACCTTACCAAGTGATTCTATTCCCATTTTGTTTCACACCCCGTGAAATAAAGTAATCAGCAACAATGAAGAATTTAAAACTATGGCAAATTGCCTTTACAAGTATGTAAGTTGTATAACTTGCAATCCAAATATACTCTTGTATACAATAAGTAATAATGCTCTTTGAAATGCTCTTTAAGCAACTTAAGAAAATTAACTTTGAAAGTCTAAGCACTTAGTTGCAAAAGAGTAGAGAAATAAGTTCAGAACTTTGAGAGCTTTTGAAAGTGTATGTAAATTGTATAAAAGTAGTGTATTTGTATTGTGAGAGCTTGAGCCTTTATATAGATTTTCTCAAACACCCTCGGTGCTCTTCTGAAAGTGTATAAGTTGTTTGGAGTGAAGAGGTTTCGTTTGGAGTGAAGGGGTTTCGTTTGGAGTGAAACCATTTCACTTTGAAATCTGAAAATCTCATATAACAGCTCTCAGTAATCGATTACTGACTTGGGTATCGATTACCCAAACTCCCTGTTTTAGTGAAAAACAATTTTTTACTTTGAGTAATCGGTTACTCAAATCTGAGTAATCGATTACTCATAGCCGTTTTAGCTATTTGAGTTATTTCTCTCTCTTGTTACCTGTTACTCAGATACAGTAATCTGTTACATGGTATTTTTGAAAATTGTTTTGATTTACTTAGAGTGTTTCAAACTTTAACTAAAATGTTTTTGAGCATTATGACTTAGTATATTAAAGAGTTTTTAGGATAGAAGTACCTAAGAGACTTAGTCTAATAATCTTGAAGCTTTATCTTCTTTGTCGTCTTAAGTCTTCTTCCTTTTCTTCTTTTTGGTGATGTTGGTGTCTTCATCAAAACCGTGTCAAGGTCAGGAGCAAGATCTTCTTCACAGCTCACCCCTAAATTGTATTATGA